ATTGGTTCACCAAAATTGTGCAGGCCAGGTCCGGTAACTGTGCGGTAACCGTGCGGTAACGGTGTCCCACTCATACGAAATCCGCTCTAACAGTCAGTTTGCCGTCAGTTGAAAAAAAAAAAATCGTGGTAAATCTATTATAAATGAATTACAAGAATGACTAATGATGAAACAGGTTAAGCAAATAGAGGGCAACTCAATCAGCTCAATCAGGTAATGCGTATTCATGGATACTACTGAAACAATGCACTAAAACAAGGAATTTGAATCGCTCGTATAGGTATCAGAAGGCAATTAAACATTTGGTCGCTTCGTGTTACAAACAGATGTTACAAAAATATACTGTTAGAAATTAAGTTAATCCTGGCCTTAATAATTATTTATTCCAATCAATGTTAGCACTTGCTTCACTGATATAAGGCGTGGTCTTCAGGAGCAAAAAAAAAAAAAAATAACTTTTGCTAGTCCCACACTACCTTTCGGTCTCAGCCCTGTGTATTATATCGATATACTTTTTTCTATGACAACATTCCTTAAATTTGCAGTGCACTTCGAACTTACTTTTGATAAAAATTTCTCTGGWGCCATAAAGTTCCTYGGGATAGCATTCCCTGCCGTCTCCACGGTAACCAGCATTGCACTTGCACTGGAACGAGCCAATGGAATTGAAGCACGTGGCATGTGGATGGCATAAGCGTGCTTCGTCTGGGATAAACTGGGACCGAGCTCTAGCGAGTTTGGGTGGTTGGTAGTCATATTCAACGCACTCATTTATGTCTAGCGGGTAAGAGGGAACTTGCATGAGACAAAGGATGACTACGCATTCCCAGTATAAATGCGGAGGAAAGAGATAAAAAAGTTGCCCAGTTAACAAGACATTAAGTCAACGAGAAAATCAATTCTTTATATCCAATACACTTTCGTAAATCGCTGTCTTGTCAACAATAATATTTTTTTGGAGTATTTGAACGACATTCTTTGTACAATTTTTTTAAGAGATTAAATCTATTGCTGACAATGCCKTTCCAAATGGACAACCTTTTTCAGACTGACTGGTTACAACCATTTCCAGGAAAGCTGTCACGTGATTAGACTTAAACCATCATGCAACATAACCGTAGTTGATTCCGAGATCCATTCCTTATTGATAGATATCACTGGTTCTGGCTATTCTTAAGGAAAATGTAATCATTCAAAAAGGTCGACCATTCTTTGGAGATAAAATCTGGTTTATATTAACAGTGTATGGCCTTCATTGACAAATCAAAAAAACCTCAAAGAATGGTTAAAAAACAAGAATATTGACACAATGAAGTCACTATAGATTTGTTCTTTGGGACGTTAGGAATACATGGCATATAGACTATATAGACTAAGTTCTGTTTATCACGATAAGTGCACTGCTTGTTGACCATGGAGACAGCAACTGACCATGCGCAGCTAAAGAGAAGCGCGCAGGAAACAAATGTCTGAGGAAAACGTAGACTAATATGATTGTATAGTATTCCTATTACTTAATTCGTACAAAAACAAATCAAGAGAGAAAAACAAAAAAAAAAAAAACGCTTTTGAAACGAGGGTGATAGTGATACTGTCCAATGTTTACTTGCATTAGGAACCCGGGTTGCCAAAAAAATATGATATCACTCTATTGAGAATCAAGACTTTGATGCAAGGTCAAGGCAAACGTTTTATTTTTGAGGTCATTAAGAATTCCATAAAAAAAAAACTTTCTCTTATCAGCTGTTTAAAGTAGATTGAAATGTTATTTATTGTTGCTTGAAGACGTCCAATGTGATACACTGGGTAATAGATGTATTTTGCTTTTATAGTGTAAACTTGAATAATATCTAAGACTCCGAACTATTGGATTCTATATATTATCAATACATTTCCTGAGGCATCAAACAATATAATCCGATATTGTAGCCGTGTTGATATACATTCAATATTCAAGCATTAGCACCACTACTAACCTCGACACCGTGGTAACGTCCCACTCCATTTACCATGTTCATCACAACTTCGCAGACGCGACCCTGACACCATTCTTAGACCCGAGTTACAAAAATACTCGACCGTTGCACCTGTGCTGAAATCATCGCCAATTCTATAGCCTCGTTTTGGTTTACCAGGATTACCGCATCCTATAACAAATACAGACAGATGATTGGTTAATAATCTTTGTTAATTGGCAGGACAAATTCACCCTCCAAAAACCTATTAAATATCAAGTACGCTTACTATATTTAATACAAACGAAACATTATTCTGAATTTTTGAGACTCGAAAAATCGAGTTATGACACTAATATATTACCATGTAGAAGTTACTCCGAGTAGGAGTTACTCGAAACATGTTCAATATGGGCTAAAAWAGTTCACAGACTTCACAGTTTGGTTGATTAAAGCACCAGAATAAACTGCTTTGAATAGCAACATTGGTTGTTTTGATTGCGGTCAATCGAGGAAATGCATAATGGCACAAACGTGCATACGTCACKCGCGGTGTCTGCGCCGCTTTAAAGGACTGACTGATAAGAAATTGTTCGACAAAACTGGCTGTATTATTGGGAGAAGCTCTTGGCGGGTGGCATAACCCTGAGGAAAGGTCAGCGACTAATGCCAGTGTACAGGGAAACCTCACCAGAATCGGATATGTCTCGCGTTAATGTAAACACGCAACGATGAACTACAACAATATCATCATGGGACTCTGAAACTTTCACAATCGTGACTATAGTTCTCTTGCGTCACATGACCAGTTTTCGTAAAACYATCCAGAAACTATAATTCACCACAGGGTTTGACAATTCGCTAGAATTAAAAGGCGGATTTACATACACGGTGCGATTGCTGTGTGCGATTTGTAAAAAAATGAGAACAAAGCAATGAGGACAAAATRTGATAATATATCATCCCTGGTATGGAGAATAAACGAATTTTACCTTACAAACTACTCTAATAATAAGCTAAGGCCCTCACAGTTAATTCAAGGGGAGAGGGGTTCAGCTCTTCTAGCCCCCTATATGTTTCGTTAGTATTTTGTTACTTCGTGTGAATAGATCAAACTATTAATAGTCTTACACCGCCTCCGCATTTCCTCTGCATACTTATCTCTCATCTCTTGGAGATAGTAATTGCAGCAGTACGCACAGAGCATTGTCAGCGGTTTTTTTACGTCAACAAAGTAATATTCACGTTTTTTATTAATAATTTGAATGAAGGTACTATATTGTTTCTCTTTACTCCGACGAAGAGTTAACGTCCAAAGAGTCAGTAAGCTATTTCGCCTACTTTTTTTACGGTGTTAAATTTATCTTTTTACACAACTGTTTCTTTAGAAACACCGACGCAGTTCACACTAGTTTACCGCTAGTTCTCACCATTTTTACTCAATTGTTGTATCGTTTGTTTCACTGTATTTTTTCCAGTTCCTTCACTGAAAATACAGACTTTCTGTTTCAATGTTTAATGTACGTTTTGACTATTTCTTTAAAAATAATAGTTTTTCTGCCATGTAGTTCAAGTTTTTTGAAATGTCAAGATGAAAGGATGACTTGAAATGTGATTCAATCTTCTAAGATTGCTCGCAGTCTAGTGATCATGACTTTGCGGCGTTGTTTGATGTGASARMACTACAGGAGGGAGGTCCAGTCGCTTTTGCGCGGGAAAAAAAKGCCAGTCACGAAAWATTAAACAAAAGTGGTGTAAATACCACGTGATTGACTCATGCAATCTTAAGACTCTGMCGTATTAGCCACAGTCTTATATCTGCTATATCGTTGATGGTAAAGAAAGTTGAAAAAAGACATCGAATCGCAATGTCAACGCGATAAAATGGTAATGACAGGCAAATCTCATTAAGAGAATTTGAGTGACACAAAGGAAAACCCTCAAATTATCAACATGCGAGAAACGACATGTGGACGAACCTAATGACGCGGAATCCAAAAGTATGCTAGCGACTACAATTTAAAGAATCGTTACCAGATGCACGGAATTCAATCAGGAAGTTTAAACAAGCTCGATTTTCAAGCCAAAGTCTGAGGTGCTCCCAATATTTACCATTTTATACTATAGCATATGCACTTTTCCCGGAGCAATTCTTGTAGAGTCTACACTTTCAGTTAAATGGAAAGAAAATTGTTATTTCAAATTGCCTAAAGGCTGATTCCATAGATCCCTCTTTAAACCATATATGTGTACATTACTTCTCGGCTTTTCCTGTCTTTAACCTTTGCAGTTATTTTCAAGAGCTTGTTTCGGATTGATACGCGAGTTTGGACTKAAAAGGAATCCAAAYTGGTTATTTTGGCGTAAWAGAAGACAATAGYAGAACACTTTCTTTGTTATCGAGTTTCTAATGGTGCCAAAGTCTAAGACCTTGAGTACTATTTTTACCCAAATGCAATTCAGAATGCAATTTTAGAGGACAAGTTTCAGAGACTGTTTATCCTACCAACGTAGAGGAGTGCCGTTGTTTAGGATAACTTAAAGAAAATATTGCTTTAGAGACAAAATAAATCTACTTATGCCGTATTGAAAGTCTTATGACCAAGAGAGTCTTCTGAAGACACCGACGCTGTAATGGCAGCGATAGATCTAGACACTATCCATGCTATTCTGCACACATAAATAGGCTAGTGCTGTGATTTCAAGATATGCTTGTGATATCAGATGATCTTTTATTACAAGTATAAGGAGAGCTGGCTGCTGTAAAAGACTTAAGTGTTCTGATAGTCGTACTAGTATACAAACAAATTTTTATCTTGAGTTAAACTACTTTGATCTCAAGTGTAAGAGCAAGATGTGATTGAACTTCTTCTTTATCCTTCCGAAACTCGTCCTCGACAAAGTAGTTGTTAGGCAAATCTTGTACAGATATGAAAGTGCACTGAAAGTGGTTCAAAAATATAATCCTTATACAATGTTAAAGAAAAGGTGTGGTCATCCTTTGGACCAGACGGTAGAAGAAGGAAACGAATAATAGCTAAAACAAAACTGTATTTTCCTACTCTCTTCACTTTAATTGCCTTGATGCGCCTATATTATGAGTATTCGAAGCTAGATTTTTGGTTTCAATAAGATATTATAGAATCCTGATGCCACCACAATGCGATTTCTTGTATTTCAATGTAAGAATTATGAGAAAAGTCATTCAAAGTTACAATGACCTTTGTAATCTTTTTTAAGTCGATATGGGGGCATTTTGTCTCCCGCCAATTTTGGTACGTGATTTTAAATTGTATCTTAAAAAATACATTTATATTTTATGGCATCTTTTATTACAATTTACCATACTATACGCGATAATCATCTTCTATAAATATTTCGCATTCTAATTCGTTTTCTTATTCTCGAGCATTTTATCGAAATGTTTAGATATCTCGAAGAAAAATTGAAAAAAGAGCAAAAATTCAAAGAATGGATCGCATGGTGGAGATAATCTCCTTAGTACAAAAAGCAGTAAGCCTATCTACGGCATGTCATGGTTGCCTTGCTCCTTCTCCAAAACTTTGTCCCGACATCAGGACCTTTTCTTTCGTCACTAAAAGAAAACCTCTRRAGGGTCTTGACAAGATTAGAAAGGCTMTACACCTTGTTCACATAGAGCTACAGTACGTCATTGTAATCTCGGGTTATATTTAATTCATACTAGTACAATAAGTACAATATTAAGTACAGATATGTATGAGTTTGTTTGCTGTTGGTTTTTTCCACCTCTAAGATGTCAAAGATTTCTTATTTCGTCTTTAAAGGAATTATATTGAGATGTATAGGTATTCAGGGACCAAATCGATGGCCCCCAGCTAGTTTCTTCCCCGTTTTGAATGMAAAAACCTGTTAAACTGGTATTGGAAGCAAGAAAAACACAAGTGRGAATAAGGCCAGTGTCACTTACTATTTTTAGTGTCATTTTATAATGTGGGATCAAAACACTTTTAAGGAAAAAAGCCATTAGTGGTTAGTGCTATTGAAAACGGAAACAATKGGAAGAATAGCTTATATCTTAGTTTATAACGCATTTGCTTTAAGTGTGAAAATTACAGGAAGCAATGTTCAAATGGGTGGTGATTGCACCTCTTTTGTTGAAAGTGCAATTCAATACATTACAATAAATGTTTTTTAATATAATCCTAGAAACGCTCTGATACTCCATTAAAAAATAATACAAAAAAATGAAGACTGCATAAGTATTCTTTCTTATTCTCATCAAATTTCTTGATTTGTAAAGTTCTATTTCTAGGACAACGTTATGCAAATAAGTGTATACTGCAACAACAAAATATAAAATATTATAATTATTAATATTATATTATTAATATTATATGAATGCATATTATTATGTAATAATTATATATCAAAGCATTATATGAATTTTTCCTTGAAAACTTATTCATCTTCAGTTGCTTACCGACGCCAAAACATAAAAAAAATCTTCTGTATCTCTTTATCAGATAAGGTCGTCTACGAAGAGTTGTTGCCTTAGCACTTCCGCCTCATAACCATTTGTTTTTCAGCTTGCATTTCAGATATAAGTTACCATATATTTCTTCAAAAATGTTTTAGAATGTTTTATGGTTTTAGCTTGTATTACAGGATATTTATGTTCCTACAAAAGTTATATAAATAACGGAAATGTACACAAGAGAATATGCTCTTGATATAATTCCATAACAAGATGGTGAATAAATAAATTTTTATCATTCTAATACTCGTAGAATACTGTCTTACCTCATGATGCTATGTATTTTTATCACTTGGTTCTGGTATCAGGAAAATARAAATGAAATTTTACATCGTGTCATACATACTGTATTACTAGTATATACTATCTAAACACGTGGTCGAAAGGTAAACTTAAAGACAACAAAATTTCCTGTATTTTCTCTCCAGACCACAAAATGAAAGATGACTTTCTGCAGCGAAAGAAAAACAAAAACAAAACTAATTTAATTTTCGGAATGAATGTGAAACTAAAATCCTAAGTAAACACTGAAAACAATCATTTCTTGCACAATTCTTGCACTTATTGCAAATACTAATATRCTTACAGCTGTATATAAACGAGTAAAAATGAATGTAGAAACTTGGGTAATTATTTCGCTTAAAATGGAGGCAATCTATCCCATCCAAATTTMAAAAAATGTGTAAAGAGGGAATTATTCTAAACGAAGACTTATYCCCCGGCTCATGAGTAATTCATAGATTCTGGRGATTTGGTGAAAAAATAACGTTAATTATCAGCTGGTTTSCGAATAAATCTTGTCGAGAATAATGCTGATTCAGGCTGTATACATATGTAAATCCAACGYATTCGACAAGGGATTTTAACACATCTCAAGTTTTTCATTTTCCTTTGAGTTATTTGTAAGAATATCCTCCCAATTATCTTAATTGCATAAAAGGATTACTTTGAGTTGTTTGAAAATAACATCAGATTGCAGTTACATCAAAGGGAGAATTATTTTTAAAATATAGATGTTTAGAAAAAAAGTCTTTTAAGCTCAGAAATAATTCAATCAAAACTGAGTGTGGTTCTCAGTTTAGTTAGATATATTGAAGTGGAGCTTTGACATGTGAATTAAATCATATCCGTCAATATGGATTGAATTATTTACTTTTGGACAAATGCGGTTCCGAGTAACACGTTCAGCAATCGTTAATAAGAGAGGATTTTCCTTTTGCGGTTGGAAACCAGGCACCTATTGCGACCTTCACTATAAGACAGCAGAATAGACTCAAAGCGCAGTAGTGTTATCGATGTACGATCGCAAAATAAAAGTGYTTTAAGCAGTTATCACTCATGAAGTATTCCCTTATCAGAGTGATCTAGGTGCACGCGTTCGAACACTTGATCAGGATGTTTATTGCACTGTTGCACGGCTTAGAGATCAAATAATCGATTCTCAAGACGGCATGCCGCAGAATATTAGACGTTGGATTCTTGACTGTATGAGACCCTAAACTCTCACACACTAAAGGATTTCACAAGAATGTTTTGGACAAACATCCGCAGMGTACTTTCATACAAAAACTAGCATGATTAAAAGGCTCCTATCTATAGCTTGGCCTTCGCTGACGTATGATTCATACCACAGATAAACGAAATCTTGTTGTGTGGCCAGAACCCATAACGTAGCTCTTGGTTTCTGAACGAGAAACGCATGAATTTGCAGATCTTCGTCTTGATTTTCATATGAGTGGCGTTCAAAAGGTTTCAATTACTAAGATATACTCGATATTCTCCACGCTTGACGCAAAAAAACAATTAAATAAGTAAACGTAACGGGGATTTGAGCATATTCCAGATAAGGATTTATAGGAAGATTTTATCTGTCTCTATCAGCAGTCGCTCTTAGATGATACTATGATTCGTTTCGAGAGACATCTTCCGTATGTTTAGCTATAAACACCGCTGCGCTCGCATTTGAACCTCATGTTTAATCAGTACACAGCAAACCTCGTGTAGGGAACAYAACCCATTACGGTGGAAATGATTCACGTACCTTTTGTCTTTAGCCCCTCAACCGATGAACAAAAGAGCAAAGTAACCCACACAACGGCCCAAAGGCTGTACAGCATGGCTCCTCTTTCCCGAGCACCTTGTTACAAGAGCGTATCTGTCGTTGAGCTTCGTGTCAAGCCAAATAACCAATGAAACTAGTGTAATTCAAGCTCTTATCACAGCCGACCCGTCGGAGGATTCACAATATCGATACAACGCCACAACCGGGTAGTTTCAAGTCCAACAAATTCACACTTGTTAGTTSGTTGGATTCTACAATTGTTGCACTCTTGAGGCGTACCTTACAGCAGAAGAAGCAACATAATCTTCGCTTAGATCAGTAATAAGAAACCAGTTCTATTTACCGCGGGTCGACGTATTTCCAAATTACATCAACACCCTAAGAGGTCATGGGTCGCTAAGTTTATAATACGGGAAAAACAGGCAGTTTGGAGTTCCAATAGAAAACTAGATCCACTCAGTTTCCTCAAAGGAACAAACTGAGATCCTCTGCTACTCTCGTCTGGATGTGCTCTGTAAAAAATACGAGTGAATAATGCACTTCCGGACCAAAGCAACACAGTCCACCTATCGAGTAAAGGCAGATAATTAACACTATCTATTGCGACATTTGATTTATTATGAACTTAGTTCTCTTTAACCAATGAATGTTGTTTTAAAACACAAATTAGTCGAGACCTACCATCGACGAATACATTAAAAATTAAGGACATTGGCAGAAATTCTCGAGAAAAGTTTAATTTTATTGGTTTAGTTTTAAAYACTATCTGGTTTATTTATAATGACACGTGGTACGGCTTTTTGGCGGGTGATGGCTGTGATTTTCGAATTCCCGCTTAAATGTACGTCGCTGACTCGATCAGTTCAGGGARTGATTGTCAATTTATTCTCCTAGCTTATCCTAGACTTCCTCYTYTCTAAGTRCTCTMTACTGAACGTGACTGAGGCTGCAGTAAAAGGTATTTGTTTTGCGAATGACCAAGGGGAAGCTTTTTGGATTATTATTTTGTAAAACAGGAAATACTCGAGAAGTACAGAATCAAAGACGTCTAATGTAGATAGATTTATGATATTATCAGGCTTAATATGCTCGCCTAATTACAAAAAAGTTGTCATACACAAAAAGAACATTTGTGATTTTTAAATGATAATAAAAATTTGTGTCTGAATCACTATCGTTTTTAAAATGAACCTAGTGTCAAAAAACATATTTTTAATTATTATAAATCTTTCTAGATGCAAATTTGATAAAATTTGTGATTTTTCATTAAACGAACCAATACCTCTGCCATTATTGAGACTAAAAAGAGAGTTGATTCAAGTATTGTACAAAGACACCGATTGAAAAACGATTGAATTCACAAATCATTGCATTTTATACGGCTATTTCAGAAGCATCGATGAGTATTTATTCTATTTTACAAGCCAACAAATTAGCAAAAATAAAATGAACTTGAACTTGGAAAAACCTTGCCGGTACATAAAAAGGCTGCAATGCAYTTCGGTCACACGATATGCGCARTATGAGAGCTATTACATGTATTCAGTATGGACGTTTTTGAAAGAAGTATTAGAGTCATTTTCATCCGTCTGTGAAACAATTACTACTAGTCAGTGTTTAATAGCTATTATGGTGTAGTAGCGATTTACTCCGACGAAGGATTAACGTCCGAAACGTCAATAAGTTATTTCACATACTTTTTTTACGGTGTTAAATTTATCTTTTTACACAACTGTTTCTTTTCAATTTTTATTTCACATCCTTTTTTTACGGTGTTAAATTTATCTTTTTACACAACTGTTTCTTTAGAAACACCGACGCAAGTCACACTAGTTTACCGCTAGTTCCCACCATTTACCAAAAGGCAAAATTTGCCCAATTTGTTTGTCGCATGTCATAATAAACTATTGGTAGCTAATAGGGGTGTAATAGCATTTAATAGTAGTACAATTCCTATTTCACAGACGGATGAAAATGACTCTTGATTTGGAAAACTATTTATATGCACAAAAAAGTACACAATTATTTTACGAGGATTGATAAAAACATTGCGATTTTTACTTTTTCAATAATTGGTAGCATCAGCGTTGCCCAAGTATTAAATTAAAACAATATTTTAAAATGTATTGCAAATCTGACCACACAGGTATTAATAAAACTCATTTTATTTATTATAAATAAAACTCATATTCTTTATTCACGCTTGCTTTTTCATTATAATTTCCCCTACGTTTTTTTATTGCACTTAGAGCAGGTTTGATATAAATTTTTTAAGAGTAGTTATCATTAACATGAAGCCAATTTCTATTTATAATCCCGAATGGTTTTTTTAATCCAATCAACAAATGGCCAAACTTTGGTGTACATCCCATACTTATTCKKCATTCCACACCCCTCCCCCCACGAGACCAATCCTACTGACACCCATTTCCATTTTCCCTCTTGTTCGACCAATCTCATAAAACTTCCACCGCTGTCTCCCGAGCACGTGTCATTCCCGCCCTGTCCGTCACCTGCRCARAACACTACTTTTGGATCAACGTCRCCCCTATGCCTTTTGCTGGTCGAGTTTATGCAGATTTGAGGTGGTTGTATCTCGAAGCGGGACTCCATRAGCACTTTTGAATTTTCMAGCGACTTTGCCTCTCCACCGTTCTTGTATGTTTTTGTTTTCCCCCAGCCAGCGACATARCCTGTTTTTCCTGGCATGTCCAMGTTTTTTTTCCCTGGAAGGCATATCTTTCGAATAAAAGGGCCAAGCTCAAACGGCTCTTTAAGTTTGATAAGAGCAATGTCATTTTTGAAGCCATTACCGTGAATGTAGCTGTCTGGGTTAATAAGTTTTTCTGCTGGAGTCGATTTTACATTTTCGTCGAAGGCACGAGATGCCAAGTCATTACTACCTGCTATCACGGTCAACCTGGGGATGAAAAAAAATAGAGTATTAATTTGTACATTATCTAGAGACATCCTGCATGCTGCGGACTGTTTTTTAGTTACTCCTCAGAACTCGATAATCCAATTTTTTATTTCAAACTCTTTTTAGTTTTTTTACATCTTCATCACTTTTCCCTCATTCCATCATGCTTGTTTTCTGCTTCCAGCTCTCCTGAGGAACAAGCGTTCTTTCACGATCCATTTTTTGATAATCTTCATACTTCTTGCGAGGGTCATAAGGACAAAAATGTCACCCAATCTCTCCATACTTATAGCTTCCTTCTTGAAAACTCTCTCTTTTMAATCTTGCGCGCACGTCTTCATAAAACCATGATATATGACAAATTGATTATAAGTCATAATTATCAGATGTAGAAATTATGAAACTTTCAGATTACCCTGACGGATGCATTTTTCTAAATAAGCCATTGTCCTGTTTTTCGTACAAGCAATGGGCTGCTGTCAAGACCCAATCTCGTTCGACCAATGCACCTCCACATATTAGCTCAAGTTTATCCATACCTGAAACAAGAGATACTGTTTTAATTAGAACTGAATCGATAAAATGAAGTTGCCGGTTCAATTCTCAGTCTTATACAGTGGCAGATCCAGGAGTAGAAAACGGGCCTTCATCTGCATCCTTTTTTCTTTTCTTTTTTTTTTTTGACTTAAATAAGACAAGTTTTATAATCCACTACATTCAAACGAACAGCACCGCAAACAAGTGGAAGATTTGCTACTGATCTACAAGCTTTCACTCTTACCGCTTTTCGACAAGATATAAATTCCAACCTGCCATGGCCATTTGCCTTGCTTGGATGCTGTTCCACCTGCAACTCGACCGCGACTATCAGAAAAGCTAAATCCCTCACCACAAGGTCTGTAATCTATCGTGTGATATGACAGAGAARARGAAARGTAAGTTGCATTGAATTCGCGCTTTTGMTGGTATAAAAATTGAATGACTTACAGCTCTTAAGAAAATGCTCCCCAAGAAATTTATGGAAGTTCCTCAAGAAATAGTATGGAATTCTTCGTTTGCAGATTACGTCACAGCGGCCATCTTGGAGGAACTTTAACAAAGGATTTCTCAGTAGTATCTATTGTTCATTCCTCCAACATGGCCGCCGGTCTTTTATCTTTTGAATCTCATGGGAATGGTTGAAAACGATCAATACGGATATTTGGTAAGAATTGGCAACAACGGCTATATTCAGTATACTTACCATATTTGATTTCGATTGCCTTTTTGCTTGCATTATTAAGATGTTTAAAACTTTCGACAATGATTACATGATCAACCCCTGGTGAGGCTATATCGTATAGTTCTTTATACATGTTATTGCTTGGATCTGCTACCTTTTTGCCAATTCCGATGGCATATATATCGACATTAAAGCCTCCTTTGTCCGGTCTATTCCTCAGAATCTTAGCTTTTTTGATCGGCGATCCGCCAATGTTAGACATCCCATCAGTTATGAAAAACAAGACTCGCTGGCGTTGACTTTTCCTTGTAACGAAAACTTTTGCGGCGGCTAATTCTAGTGCTTGTGCAGAAGCTGTTCCCCCYTTGAATAAAGCGTCATTTTGTAGTYTTGGTRATACGTTTTTAAGAGATCGATAGTTTTTATTTGTTCGTAGTTTGATTAACTTTCGAAGCATGTTATGAACACCCSARATCGATAATGCGGCGTGTTCMYGGAAATTGAATACCACTTCGGCCTGTGTTGCGTAAACAATTGCAGCAATTCTTGTCCCYTTTGGCCTGAGAAATAAAGGAATCTTTTTATCCTATCTTTATAAGTAATACCATGGAACGAGGGAARTTAGTGATTAAATTTCCCAGAAACCGAGGGAACATTTTTACAAAAGAATCCTTTGTCTTCTAAATTTCCCTCATGTTATTCATGAGGGAAATTCGGGTTTGTAAACCCTTCGGAAGACAATGGAATCGAAGGTCATCATGGTATTACTAGAATAATTTGTGCAGATATCGACAGCTAGGGGACACTTTATGCCTTCGTAGGAATTTTGCTTCTACCAATTCTCTCTTTCTTTTTCCTCTAAGGTGGAGGACAATGAGTGAGAAATTAACCCTTTCTCTTTGCTTTTCTTCTTTAACTCTTTCCTCCTGCTGCTCTGTAAAGCTAATATAACAAAACACTTATTAGGACGAACCAATGCTATATACTTACTTCCATGTCGGATTAAGCACATTGACGAGGCGCCTTGCAAACTGAACCCCAAGTTTAAAATCGCTGTCTGTTATGCTCGAAGAAGCATCAAATATGAAGAGCACATCCAAACCTTTTGAATCGGTCAAGTCTACAGACACTTTCCTTGCTCTTGTGTCAACACCAGATATATTGCAAGTYTTGTTCCCACCGGAGCACGTGTATTCTAACATAGTATCCAGGCCTTTGCGAAGTAGAATCGCTGTTTGATCGACATCGGTGACCAAGTGATCAAAGATATCTATATGTATTAAAACAAAGTTACTCTGACAGWGATATAGAAATGAAGGAAAGTTATAGTGCTTACAATTAGGAGGTTTTTTCGGGAGAAAGACCCTCGGAAACAMATTCGCTGGGATTCGAACCCACGATGTACTAACAATGCTCTACCAACTGAGCTACAAGGAGAGACTGGGAGCAGGCCGGGGTGAAAKAGATGCTAGGTTGCGGTAATTAARATGTAATGATATGAWWWGRATAGGATAGGATATGMATCTGAAATATGGGATCTTTTTCCAGGAATAACCTCCTTCTRAACACTATAACTTTCCTTCATTTCTATATCATGTAGCTCATAGTAGTGCCATGCGGTCGTCAAATTCATACTCTTGAACATTGACAAGTGGAAAACCGTCTACCATATCAAGTAGATAGAAAACTAACGTTGTCAAWCCGGAAAAGCCKTGCMCATACTCGATGAWAATGCCCATATMGMAGATCTTACKTACCCACACACTTCGATTCAGTTCCGTTCCACGTGCCCTTGTTTGTACAAAGCCTGTGACTTGATCCTGTAAGTATGTAGCCCCGCYTGCATTTGAAKCGYACTATTGAACCAAARYTGTATCGATTGCCAATCTTATATCCACTGACTGGCGTGCCAAGAACAGGGCAGTCTGACCCTGAAAAAGAAAATAGAGGTCTTGAAAATATTCGGAAATTGCTACAAGGATAAAGCTTTCATTACTTCCASTGTCGCAAATTGTCAAGTTTCCACTCCATGTTTTATTTCCCATACAAGTGCGTGAACGAGATCCTCTCATCTTGTAACCTGGACCACAAATAAACCGAACAGTGCTTCCAATGCGAAAGTTATAGCCAAGCCGATATCCACCCTCAGGTGAGCCAGGATTAGGGCAGGTCTTTGCTGTGAAGACAGGACAAAACTAATGGTTATTGTGGTCAAATACACTTTAAGCTCCAACTAAGAATTTCTGTGCTTGCTCAGTACAAACCTCTACAGGAAGGTGGAGTGGTATGGCTCCAGCGGCCTTCTAGACATGTGGTAGTATCATCTCCTATCAAATCATAGCCAGGCTTACATTTGAATATCAGCGTTGCAYCATGGGATAGKGTCTGATCGGTAACATTGACTTGTCCATTTCCGATACGCAATTTCCCTTTGATCCTACACCTATATTCTGTTGAGCGAAATATAAAAATAATATAGATTCTATTAATGGAGATTCCTTGGAGGGTAGGCATAGGTAGTGAGGACCAAGAGGTATGGAAGAGGGCAGATAAAAACGAGAGGAAAAAGACGGGAGGCAAATTATGAAAGAATCTGAGAAAAACGCAGCAAACAGGCCAAATTAGAGAGAGTTATGTCTGACGTCAGAATGGGCATGATTATATAGACACTGATTGAAAAATACACCATAGAATTTAAACAAAAGACCTTTGCTTGGTCGATATTGTTGAAACGGTAGTAATGAGAGGTGCCTCTACCTACTTAAGCACTGTGGCTTTTTAGTCCATTTTCCATTCTTCTTACATATTCGATAGGGTCGTCCAACTATCTTGTAGCCATAGTTACATGTATAGGTCGCGTTACTGCCGTAAGTGAGCCTGCTTGCTGAATACCGGCCATTTGGGATAGCTGGTGGTTCTCCACATGAGATGGCTGGGGAATAGTTTATGAGTAAGAGAATACTTGTCGAACTCATTACGTACAGTATACTAGAACTCGTTGAAATATATACGATGAAGATTTAAGGAACAGCACCGTTGAATTTCCCAATAAAGTATTGAGTGATAAACTTTGGTACGCAACAGACATCAGCGACAGTTCCTAGCAAACTTCGACTAGTAAAAACCATTTAATTTCAAATTATTTGAATAACTTACGTTTACAAGCCCAACTCATGTGGCTCCATTTCCCGGTCTGATTGCAAAAGGGCGTGGTTTTATTTTCCTTTTCGTGTCCAGCCTTACAACGATAGAGAAGTGCCTGACCAATTCTATAAAATCTTCTTTTTGACGCTCTCACACCGTTTGCGATGCGGACAGGAGCTTTGCAACGTCTCTGTACTTGAGATACAATCCTATGAGTTAGTACTGTATAGCCAATTAATAGTTTGCAATTTCATAACTGTATAATCACACTGCGAGTCCGTAACCGTCCTCTAAATGAAATGGCTACATTTCAATATTGCGTTGAGATTACTATAATATACCTGATCAAGATAGGTGGAGGAACCATCAAATTGTTGGTAATAACTAACATTAGTGACAGTTCCTAGAAAACTGTGRTTCGTAAAAMTCTTCTGCCTCTAATTYATTTGCWCAACGTTAACTTACGTTTACAAGCCCAKCTCWTGTGGCTCCATTTCCCAGTYTGRGTGCACAGGGGCGTAGTTTTATTTTCCTTTGCGTGKCCAGCCTTACAGCGGTAGAGAAGTGCCTSTCCAATTCTATAAAATSTTSTTTTTGACGCTCTTACACCGTTTTCGATGCGGACAGGAGCTTTGCAACGTCTCTGTACTTGAGATACAATCCTATGAATTAGTACTGTATTGCCAATTAATGAGTTTGCAATTTCATAGTTATTATAGCATAGTTATATAATGAAATATTGCGTTTAGATTACTGCATTATACCTGATTCAGATGGATGAACGAACCAAAACAAGAGAATAATGCTCACCAGGAAGACCTACATAGAGAGAAAGGGCGCAAATGAATTAAAAATCCATCGAAATTGATAGCTTTTCTCTTATCTACTCTCAACATTCTTCTGCCGGTCTTTCGCTACAAACGTCTTCTTTTTACGTAGAGACTGAGGACATCTTTGACTGCCGACACCTTCTGATCGACAACATGCACTCTCAAATTGACGGCATGCAATATAGACCTTTTTAGAACTAGCGGTATACGTAAACGATATAGAGCAAAAGGAGTCCTTCGTTCCCCACACATCGAAATGACAGAAATGATATACAACTGAATAATCCTCGTCGGAAATGCTACGGAGACGCTACGGAAACGTAACAATGTCAGTGGAAAAGTCCTAAGAGTACCCCTCTAAACATACAGCATACTGGGATGTCTGAACCCACCCAGACCAGGCAGCGTTACTTAACCTTTTCTATGGATTCATGCCAATGATAACGTCTCTACAGGAACAGACATAACACTCCTCAAGGTGAATCATGATGTGAAGGTTGCATATTTATGAAATAAAGGATAGAATTCCTTTGATCACTCATGAAAGAGCACGCAAAGATTTTGGAGGAACACGTACACGAAGGGCCTTGAAAGGTCACGAGTCTTTGCAAGTCACTTAAAAGTACTTCGGCAATCACCCAAAATAACAATTCATTTTATTAAACACAAATTGCTTGTATTATGCTTGGATTTGTATCGCATGTCTGTACATTGTATTAAAAATTATTTCTCTCCCTCAAGAGATTGAGTCTAAGTTCCCTTTTGATATCAA